ACGACGGCGACGGCGGCGAAGACGACGATGGCAGCGACAGTGACGACGACGACGACGACAGCGACGGCGACAACGGCAGTAGGAGCGACAGCGACGACAACGACGACGACGACGACGATGACGGCGGCGGCGGCGACGACGACAGCGGCGGCAACGACGACGACAAGGACGACCACCACAACCACCACCACCACCAAGACAAAGAGGACAAATAAGACAGCGACGACGACGACGACAGCGACTTCTCGGGGGTTAGAAAAACCAGGCAAGGTGGCCCCGCAGCCGCGGGCCAACGACCCCGAGCAAGGTGGGTGGTGGCCGCCGGCCCTGCTCCCAGAGCGGCCGGACGAATTCATCGACCTTTTCCTCGTACTCCTCGTCTTCGTCGTCTTCCTCGTCATCCCTCCTCGTCGTCCTCCTCGTCATCCTCCTCGTCCTCGTCGTCCTCCTCGTCCTTCTCTTCATCGTTTTCCTCGCTCTCCAGGGCGGGCGCCTCCTCGCCCGCCCCCTCCTCCTCCTCCTCCTCCTCCTCCTCCTCCTCCTCCTCCTCCTCCTCCTCCTCCTCCTCCTTCTCTTCCTCCTCCTCCCTCATCATGCTCCTCGTTATGTTGTTCCTCCTCCTCCTCATCCTCCTCCTCCTCCTTCTCCTCCTCATCCTCCTCCTCCTCGTCCTCCTCCTCCTCCGAGCGAGACGTGTTCTGCTGCGCGGTGGCAGGAGCTACGAGTTGCGGATCGACATCGCCCTCCTGCCCCACTTCGCACTCTCACACCTCGTTGGGGTCGTCCTGATGTCAGCAGTCGTCGGCATGTGCAGCTATCCATCGGATCGCAGCTCCTGCTCAGCCAGCACTGCCTGATGCTGACCTGCCTCGAGGTGGGCGCGTGCGCGCTGGAAGAACACCCCGAGGCTGCCCACTGCGAGGAGAGGGCCCCTGGCTCATGGCAGTCCGCCACGTCACTCCGTGCGCCCCAAGCGCGGTCCCTCCCTCCAGGACTGCAGAGCGCGTTTGACCCCTGCACCTCCGGGCAGGCCAGCAGGGCCCCGACGGCGTTCCCGTGTAGTCGGTTGGACTGGTTCGACGCCACTTGCGTCGATCGAGGAGGAGGAGGAAAGGGGGGAGGAGGAGGAGGAGGAGGAGGAGGAGGAGGAGGAGGAGGAGGAGGACGGGGGAGGAGGAGGAGGAGGAGGAGGAGGAGGAGGAGGAGGAGGAGAGAAGGAGGAGGGGGAGGAGGAAGAGGAGGAGGAGGAGGAGGAGGAGGCAGATGTGATCCTCCCAGGCAGTCTCACAGCACCCTGCTCGGTACTGAGTCCGACGGAGGAAAATGGAGGACGGCGCCCAAGAAATGTACCCTCAGGATGTGATCATCCCAGATAGTCTCACAGCACCCTGCTCGGTGCTGAGTCCGACGGAGGAACATGGAATACGGCGCCCAAGAAATGTACCCTCAGGATGTGATCATCCCAGATAGTCTCACAGCACCATGCTCGGTACTGAGTCCGACGGAGGAAAATGGAGGACGTCGGACGGCGCCCAAGAAGTGTACCCTCAGGACCTTTGTGCAGCCATGGGTCCTGCAGTGTCAGTATATGTGGGCGCGGTGGATCGATTATGTGACACCGACGCTTTGGATCCTCACGAAATTCCTGAAAGGCCTGAACACTTTTTTCAGGCTCTCGACCCCCATGCTGCTGCAGGCCCGGAGGCAGATCTTGCCTTGGACCTTGCTGGTTCCAGGGGACGGGGGCCCAGGGATACCAGGTTTGATCGCCCCTCCCCCTCCTCCCTCCTCCTCCCACCTCCCTCCTCCCCCTCCCTCCTCCTCCTCCCTCCTCCCTCCTCCCTCCTCCCTCCTCCCTCCTCCCTCCTCCCACCTCCCTCCTCCCTCCTCCCTCCTCCCTCCTCCCTCCTCCCTCCTCCCTCCTCCCTGCTCCCTCCGTGGCTGGGGACTCTGGTGCTGAGCCTGGTCCGGGGCCCTCCCGGGAGCCGGATCCTCGGCCCGTGCAGGGGGCGCTCTGTGGCCCGTGGGCTGAGGAGGGGATGCTGCGGTCTCTGGAGGCGTCTGGGGATCCCTGGGTTCTCCGCAAGAGATTGGAGAAATGGTCACAGCATATCCAAACCATGCTCAACAATACTCAAAACATCGTCCCCATACTATTATGTTTGACTATTTTTCCTCCTGTAGAGGGGCACGCCCGACTGAAAACATGGCCCTCCGCCTCCTCCTCCTCCTCCTCCTCCTTCTCCTCCTCCTCCTCCTCCTTCTCCTCCTCCTCCTCCTCCTCCTCACTGCGGCTGCCCCCTCTCCTCCTTTCGATCCCTCGAGCCGGCCACAGCTGCGGGGGCGGTGCTCCCTCCCCCCCCCCCTCGGGGGTGGGGGGGGCCCATCGGCCTCGACGCGCCCCTCGAGCGGTCGTGCGCCCGATGGCTCCCCCCAAAGGGGGGCCAGGAGCACAGCTCCCCCGCTCGCGGCCGGTCCAGCTCCGCCCGAGGGGAGCCCACCGCCGATCTGCGGCAGGCCATCGCCCGCCGCCGCGGGCAGGCGAGGCTTCGGCGAGGTCTTCGCCGTGCGGTGCCCGCAGGAGGCCTCGTCTCCTGTGCACAGGACGGGTGCTGTGAGAAGGCGCACTTGATAGGGGTGATTCGGTGTCCCTCGTCGTTGTCTGATTCACGTCCGTGCCCTTGCAAAGTGCCTGCGCATGCTGTTGTTGTGTCTGCACTGTGGCTGGTCCTGAACCCCCATTGTCCGGAATTTCGAAACTGTCCTTCTCCTCCTCCTCCTCCTCCTCCTCCTCCTCCTCCTCCTCCTCCTTCTCCTTCTCCTCCTCCTCCTCCTCCTCCTCGCCGTTCCTCTCTCTCTCTCTCTATCCCCCCTTCCTCCTGGACCGTGGGCCCGAAGAGGCGCTGCCGCGGGGCCCGCCTTCAGCGCGTTGTCGCTGACGGTCAGCACCTCCAGCGCGCTCAGGCCCACGAGGTCGTCCGGCAAGTCCCGCAGGCGGTTCCTGGGAGGCACCAAGCGACATGCCCGGGAGCGGAGCCTCCGAAGGGCTGACCTTGTCAGTCCCCTGGGCGTTGCAACTCTTGTCCCACCGGGCGGTTTCGCACGACTTCGGGCCACAGGACCATCACAGATCGATCTGGCTGGAGACAAACGCCGCAGGAAGATGGGATCTAGAGCCCTGGCCATGATGTTTCGTGAGTTCGCATGTGTTCGCAGCGTCGGATCTCACGGTGCTGGTGGTCGTTCCCAGGTTTGGGGCCCCCCATGGGCGGGCGATCTCATGAAGGGCAGAGACACGGGGCTGCCAGCTCAGGAGAAACGTCGAGCTCGAATCGGCGATGCATCGCCGATAGATCGGCGACAGGGCCCAGATAGCGAAACCGCACGCTCTTGTACGGGGCGGGCTGTCAGGCTCTGATCGGCGATCAGCGGGCGATTTGGGATCGATGCATCCCCCCTTAGCCTATCACTCCCTCTCGCAGGAGAGGAAAAAAAACACAGACACAATGAATCGTCGATTCCCCAGAAAATATAGGAAAAAATGGAAAGTGAGGGGGAAGACGAAAACCCAAAAAATATAGGAACATATGGGGGATGTGCTTATTTGTGTATATCTGTTTGTGTGTCCTGGGGCCCCTTCCCTCTCGTTGCCCCTGATCTCCGGCCCTGGGGCCATCAAGAATGGGCCCAAGACGAAAGCCACACCACGGGGAAGGGGTCGAAGCCTCTGCAGCCCACCATCCTCATGCTGGTCAGTGCTTAAGTTCTCTGTTACACACATAGATTTAGGTCGGGCGTGTCCCCCTACAGGTGGATTTTGGGCGAAGCATAAAAAATACAAAAATACCCCAACATGGTCAGAAAAGAATCGAAACATCGTCCCCATACATGTTTGGCTATTCTTGAATGTTCCTCCTGTAGAGGGACAGGCCCGACTTGAATATAGCTGTACCCAGAAACTGGAAGCACGTCTACATAACCAAACTCACATGCGGAACATCCAGAGTGTCTCTTAAACCACTCGTGGATGCCTCCTGGGGCCTCTCGGGGCTTCTTGTGCCAGCGTTGGTGTTTCTTGGCCCGTCTGACGTCTTCGGAGGCCGTGTGAAGGGTATTTCTGGGCCGCCGCCTTGGCTCCCGCTTGGGAGCCTCTTGTATACGTGCGGGAAGCACGTATACACAACCAGAGGCCATGCCATGGATACTCTGTTTTGGTCGCGGACGTGGCGCTCGCGCAGCTCAGCTGGACGGACACGGGGGCCCCAAGGGCAAGGAATAGGGGAGGAAGGCGCCCCCTCGGAACCATGCAGATCCTGTGGCGGCATGCTGCGGCCCACGCTCTGGCGAAGTGCTGCAAGTAGGGGCCCTGACCCAAAAAATAATCAAAAAATAATCCAAAAATAGTCTGGGGACTATGTTTTGAATATTTTTTTACCTTTTTGGAGCATTTTTGGGGTATGTTTTACTTTTCGTCGAAAATCCCCCTAGATACTCTTGACGGGCAATGACGGGGCGGCATGCGCGGTCGCAGGCGCCCGGCGCCCAGCGCGGAGCCCCCCAGTCGGGGACCTTGGGGAGCTCCGCGAGGCGGAGCGCAGCCAGCCCTGCGAAATCCGCCAGGCGGCCGCCAACGCAACGCAACGCAGACGCCCTGGATACACATGCGGAAGGATGCCCGGCCATAGATCGGCGACTCCGAAGTGTGTGGTTTGCAAAGGGCGTGGTTTGCAACCGGCACCCGGGGGGGCACCCTGGAGGACGGGCGGGGACCTCGACGGAGTTCTCTGCCGCGCCCCGAGGAGGCCCGACGAGGACGGCGTCGTGCCCCCCAGGCCCCAACGGCGCCGATCGCAAACAGCTCCCCGGCGCAACCGCACCCTCTGTAGCCGCCATCGTCGCCGAACAGACGGCCGAGCGTGTCGTCGCCGGGGGGGCGGCCTTGCGCGGGGCCAGGCTGGTCGGCGCGCCCGGGGAGGAAGCGGGAAGGAGAAGGGCTCCTCAGAAAGCGGCGGGGCTTCTCAGGAGCACTCTGGCCTTCTGATAAGTTTGATGCGTCCTCGGGGAAGGCCAAGAGAGCTTCTCAGAAGGCCCGAGGCCTTCCGGGCATTCCGAGAAGGCCCGCCCCTTTCTCGCTTCCCCCCATGCTCGCCGCCGACAAGGCGGTGGCGCCAGGGCACTGGCATCAGTGGAGAAGTGGAGAGCAGATCCAGGCCGATCCATTCCATGCTCCCCCCGTGGTTGTGCCGCTGTGCGTCGTCCTGCGCGTCGCCGCGAGGGGGGGAAAGGCGGGCGCGCACTGGCGATTTTCAGCCTCCGAGGGATGCCGCCGTCGGGCAGCATCGACAGCAGGAATCGCCTTGATACAGGTCGTCTCGCGCGTGGCAGCATGTATGCCCCAGGCGCTCGACACCCGCCCTCTTCGTCTAATTATGAACGTACCTCTTTGAGGGGCACCTTCTTTACGCCCGCTGCTGGTTGAACCCCAGCAGGGTAGCAGAGGCGGATCGGGCGGGCAGACCCGGCTTGGCGGGTCGGGCATGCCTGGGACTCAGGGCATTTTCCCTCTCCGGAGGGAAGGCGGAAGAAAGAGGGGTGGAGGAGCAGGGAGCGAGCAAGGGCCATTCTGGCCCCTCCCACCACCCGTGGGAGGGGAGGCCGGCCCGAGAGCGCTGTCCGCCACGGTGCGGATTGCGCGCCGTGCGATACGCTCACCAAGATCATCAAGATCCACGCGAAGATCATCAAAATCGGCGTGATATACGTTGGAAGCCAAGGCTTACCGCGACTACAACATCAACCACCAGCTGTTGAACTACACGGCTACGAGACTTACCCACATCCGTGAAGTCGTACCAGCAAGGATGCCAAGACCATGCACGCATAGAAGTACATGGGCGCGAACATCAGCGGCCCAAAACGAGTGGGGTACAACGTCTGGCATGGGATACAGCCTCGACCCGACGACATCATCATCATCATCAGCAGCATCATCATCATCATCATCATCATCATCATCATCATCATCATCATCAGCATCAGCATCAGCATCAGCATCATCATCATCATCATCATCATCATCATCATCATCATCATCATCGTCATCCTCATCATCATCATCATCATCATCATCATCACCATCATCATCATTATCATCATCATCAGCAGCAGCATCATCATCATCATCGTCATCATCATCGTCATCATCATCAGCAGCAGCATCATCATCAGCAGCATCATCATCAGCAACATCATCATGAGCAGCATAACCATCCTCATCATCATACTCATCATCGTCATCGTCATCGTCGTCATCATCGTCATCATCATTATCACCATCACCATCATCACCATCATCACCATCATCACCATCATCAGCATCATCATCACCACCATCATCATCATCAACATCATCACCAGCATCATCATCATCATCATTATCATCTGCAGCAGCATTGCTACGACTGCCCTCGCTAGAGCGTCCCAGCACGAGCTGCGTAACAGGCATCCCAAGCAAGAGAACGAGCTGCGTAACAGGCAGCCCAAGCACGAGAACGAGCTGCGTAACAGGCAGCCCAAGCACGAGAACAAGCTGCGTAGCAGGCAGCCCAAGCGCGAGAACGAGCTGAGTAACAGGCAGCCCAAGCACGAGAACGAGCTGCGTAGCAGGCAGCTCAAGCACGAGTACCGCCACCATTACGGCACCAAGACCGACACCAGGGACGACACCACCGAGCAGCCCGTAGAGGTCACAAAATGCGTCGTCGTGGAGGTACAGGCGGACAACGGCCGCGCCGCCGACGACGAGTACGACTACGGCCCCGCCACATACGACGAGTACGACTACGACAATGTTTTCGGTAGCGACCTGTACTTCTACGACCCCAATGACTGCTCCGGCTTCCGGAACTATGATGGGGCGCAGGGCTACGACAGCCGCCAGGACTACTGGGAGACCCAGAACGTGACGGATCACGACTTGGCGGACGACAACTCCGAAGTGAACCTCGGGGACTACAAAGAGAGCGTGCCCCCACGGGCGCCTCAACCAAAAAAACTACAGCCACTAGCAGAGCTACCAGGACCACCAGACGATCTTCGGGGACCACACGCTGGACTACCAGCACCACACGCACAGCTACGAGTCACCAGAAGAGCGATCTACGAGAGCCACCAGCAAAACCACGAGAACCACAAGCTGTGCTACGAGGGTCACAAGCTGAGCTACGAGGACCACAGGCACAGCTACGGGAGCCTCCGGAAGAGCTTTCAAGGAGCCACGAGAGACACAAGCTCAGCAACGATGACCGCAAGCCGAGCTACGAAAGCAAAAAGCAGGACTACGACGACTACCAGCTGAACCACGAGAACCATCTGCTGCGCTACGAGGGCCACCGGCTGACCTACGAGGACAACCAGCTGAGCTACAGGAGGCACCAACTGCGCTACGAGGACAACAAACAGAGCTACTACGGCCACCGCCAGAGTCACCAGGGCCACCAGCGGACCTTTTAGGCCCACGTGCTCAGCAACGAGGACCACAGGCACAGCTACTACAGCCACTAAAGAGCTAGCTACCAGGCCCCCAGCAGCTCTTCGAGGACCATAAGCTGAGCTACAAGGCCCAGAGGCACAGCCACGGGAGCCACAGGCAGAGCCACGATGACTGCGAGCTGAGCTACGAGGACCACAGGCACAGCTGCGAGAGCCAGGAGGGCCACCTGCTGAGCTGCGAGGGCCACAACCAAAGCTACGCGGACTACAGGAAGACCCACCTGGGCCTCCTGCAGAGCGACTAGGGCGACGAGCTGAACTGCAAGGACCAGAAGCGGAACTCCGAGATCCACCAGCTGAGCTACGAAGGCCAAAGGCGAGCTACGAGGGCCATTACCTGAGCTACGCGGGCCCACGAGAGCCTCCCGCCAGAGCTACCAGGGCGACGAGCTGAACTGCAAGGGCCGCCTGCTGAGCAAGGACAGCCTCCAGCTGAGCTTAGAGGACCAC